AAACATCTAGGTCTTGCGGAATGTCCAATAATCAAAGGTTGAAGTTTGTGGGTGCCATCTGCATTGGCTGTAAATGCAATCGTGAATCTCGTACAATTTTTTTTTGACCCTTCAATTTGGCGAGATGCAATTGTACGGTCAGGAGCCATAGCATAGAATAGGCCAGTCTCGTCCATGTTGTAAATATCACAAAGGGAATACTGATTAGTGGTATTAATGATATCGGGAAGTTTTAGGTTTATGACAGCAACGTCAGCGGAACCACTCTCGCCATGCAATTTAAAATGACGAAAATTATGTCTCTCTTGAAAAGCCTGCAACCACCCATTTGAAAATTCAGGCTGATCACTCTCAGAGATCTTTATTGGGGAGGGAGGTGAGTCAATAGAAATTAAGCAAATTTTGTTTAGTAAGTTTTTTTAAAACTTTAAAGTTACTTAACAAAAATTTGATCAAATTTAATAAAAATATTTTCAAATTAATTTTATAAGTTTATAAAATTAATTTAAAAAAAATTCTATTTAATTTGATTAAATTTTTGTTAAGTTATTTGTATTCAAAACTTCAAAAAAAAATTTACTATAAAAATTTGTTTGATTTCTATTGACTTACCCCCATTAGATCTGCTAACCTTTTACCTTTCGCTTTAATCATGTCTCCATTCAAACGTACAGCCCGATGTTCACACTGTAGTACCCAGTTCGCCAAAGCAGTATCTAGCTCAGGGAACATAATGATACGACGCTTTTTAATTCCAAGGTCAGCTGATGACATTTTATTGAACTCATCTTTTCTCTTTAAAATGTCAGAAATTGTACTTTGGCCAGGGGCTTTTGCTAGCTTGAATTCATCTTTGGCCCACTCCGCGAGTTCCTTCTGAGTAATTGCCGGATTTTCTTGGTAATGGTCACATATCATTTTCCTTTGATCATTACGCAAGTTTCCAACTAAAATAACTTTATCCTTTTTTTTTTCCCATTATGATAAGACGAAAGTTGAAAATACAAAAAGTTTTTAGCGACCGGGTACAGGATTTTTAAAATGAGAGTATGATTAACTCGATATCCTTTTTTTTTATTTAGTTTTTTATTTTATTTGTTTTTTTTTTT